GCTTCTTTGAAACGTTTTCCAACAGTATAGATCTCGTGAATCAGATCCTCCATGCAGATGATGCCATATTTACCAAGAGATCAGGCAATCAATGTGTTATCTGTCAGGGCAATTCGCTTCTTATTGATTTTACCATAACCACGCTTGTAGATCAATTCATTCACCAACTTCAGATTTGGGTACCCCCATGCTATATAAGGTTCCACAATCCTTAGCATGTTAACTGAAGCCTTGTTGAGCTTAAAAAAGGTGCCATTGAAAATCTGGCGAAGGCGAAGAAGCTGCAACACCTTTCGAACCTTTGGGCTCACACCATTGATACCTCTGATCCTGATGACAAATGCCAATTTGGGTTCCGCAGGTACATAGAAGTTGCCAGCTTTTCTTGCCATCCTTGCCATTCGAATCTCAGTTCTGTACATCTGCCTATATTCCTTGTGGTAATGCTTAGCTTTTTCATAGATAAGCTTCCTTCTTGCCTTTCGAAGCATCTTCTGAGCAAACTTCTTCCTCAGACGCTTGATCTTCAACTCTGCGAAATTCCTTCGCTTCTTCTTAAGGGTTTCTGGCACAGCAGGAAACTTCTTTTCCTTCTCTTCTGCACCCTTCATGGTTCCAGCCGGAAAAGAGCTCTAATCTAAGTCTTTGAACTCTTTTTGATAAAACTGTGTTAATGTGTTGGGAGTATAGGGATGTGTGTGTGTGTGTGTGTGCATACAAGTGTATATTTTTGTGTGTTTTTGCACACCACTAACACTCCAACTATCTCGTAATATCTCCCTGGGACATTGCCATTAAAGTTAATTACAGTATTTTGGTATATATTGGAGGTTTCTAAATAAACTATCTCCCAAACACATACAGTATTTGTAGTCTCTTGGTGAGACGGATATTACCGCAGCCCATCAATATTTCTGGTTCTTCTTTCCTTCTGAGATTTTGGGAGGATTAGATTTTCCCACCCTCTTGAAGTTAATATAATTGAGTGATATAAGAACACATCACTTCAAGGTGGAAACATTTCCGAGTTGATGTGTTAGTTTTCATGCTCTTTTCCCTTGCTCTGGCAAACCTTGAAAACTTTCACTGAGACTCATAATAAGATGGTGGAGCCTCTGTTAGCAGAGATCTATAGCAGATTCACTCAGCCAAACTGCATGAAGATTGAATAACAAATAAACCCTTTTGTTCAGAGCCAGTAAAATTTTGAAGTACTCCCTACTCCAGTATAACACTTAGCCAATACTAATTACCCTTAACTAACTCCATCTGTATTTTATTGGATACTCCAGAAAGACATGTGTTCTTTCATTCAACACATACTGATTGTCTAATATATGCCTAGGCAATATACTAGGATCTGTATATATCATGGTGAGTAAGACACAAATACAATACCTGTCTTCATGAAATATCTTGGGTGGAGGACCCACCTGATCATTTTACTTTAGGATTATAAAGGAGCATGAACTGCAACTTTGCTAAAATATATAAAATGAGAAAAATGTCATTTTCCTTTTTAAACAAAATAGAAGCAATTTTAGTATTTGAGTTATTACGGTGTTTATGACAGTATTAACTATGGTTTGTGGGAAGGGACAGGTGAAATGTAGAGTTGGTAGGCTTACCAAATGATTAGTGTAGGACAGTTTATGGATGTATAAAGTTAATAGACCAAAGTATCATTACGCTAAGAGCCAAGACACAGAGAAAACAGTAGTTAGAACTGTCTACAGTGTGCATTGCTATCCTTAAGCTTTCTAGTACTCCCCACATGGTGTGTACACTTTGTAATTTAACTCTTTAGACATTATTTTGCTTGGTTCACTTATATAACTCTTAGTTCATCCTATGTTGTCAATTTTTACAGTTAGATCTATAGTAAGTATTTGGAAACTTTAGCTGAGACAGATAACAAGCAGGTTATCTTGTGATTCATGGTTAAAGAGCTGACACTTTCTCTTTACTGTCTCAAGATAGCATACCCCTTTGGTATATTATAGCTCCCACCCTCCACCTGCATATACCTTTTAGATGATGAAGTCAACAGAGGTGGACATGGCTAATCTTTCCATTTCTCTGTCCCCATCTGATGAAATCAGACAACCGAAGGGTTTAATAGTTTGGAAATGTCCACAGAATTTTCTGATCAAGCACAGATATCAGTATGTTTGAGATGAAAAAGATTTCACCAAGTTTTTTCATAATTTCATTATTATTTCTATAATTTATTTTAATAGTATTGTACATGTTTGGGGGTAAAACTCATGGGTAGAAGTTGGAGCTATGGAAGAATATCTATATTTTTACATTAATATCTATTGAAATAATTTCCATCATATTTCTGTGTACATTTGTGTTTCCTTGAAATGTAGTGACTCAATGTGAGACACTTCAAAATTTTGCCTCCACAATTACAATACCTAACAAACAAAAACTGGAAAAAATGCAAATGCTTATTAATATTGAAATAGATAATTTGTGGCATGTTCATACCAAAAGAATATTCTCAGTAATGGAAATTTTTAAGCTACCAATACCTACAGCAATATGGATGATTTTCAAAAATCAATGTTGAGTAAAATAGGACAGACATAAAAAACAAAACACAACATATTATTCAAAGCATATAAATTTCAAAAAGAGCAAAATCAAATTATATATGATATTTTAATATTCTTATTAATATCAATACAAATACCATTAGAGAGTATAGTTCTAGGTTTCAGAACGTATGGTTATCTGTTAACCATATGGTTAATTTCTGATAATTTCCTAGTTATTGACTAGGTTGGTCTTCATATGGTCAGTTCACTCTGTGATTGTTCATCATGCTGTACTTCTATGATTTGTAAAGGTTAGTGAATGTTGTTCTGTGACAGTGATGCATTAAAGAGGTTAATACTTTTTGATACTTACGTCCTTTCCTAAGCCACGTGACGTCTTGTTATCCTTTTAAGACTTTTAAATCCTCCTAAGTTACATGATATTTTTAAATAATTTATCTGCTTAAATTTTATCACATTTACCCTTTTATTGTTGTTTATTCTTTCCTCCTGCTCTAACTCCCCATCTGAGGTTCTTTCCTACCTGCCTGGAAAACACCCATGACATTTCCTTTGCTATGCATCCGCTAGTGATGAATTCTCTCTGTTCAGTGTTTCTTTGTGAAATAGATATTTTAATCACGGTAAGTTTGAGGTAGGAAATTTTAGATACAGAATTTTTGGTTTATTTTAGTACATGGAATATATATTTCCATTTTCTTTTGTCTTCCATATTTTTATTGTAGAATAGTTAGCTGTCAGTTTTCTTATCTCCTGTAGCTTTTTTTCTATTTTTATTTTACCATATGATTAGGTGTGGCTTTTTTTCCTCTCTCTCTCTCTTTTTTTTAATTGTTTTCTTAGGATTTCTATGGCTTCTTGAATCTGTATTGATGTCTTTTAGAACATTTGGAAAATTCTGCTGTTGTCTCTTCAAACATTGCTTTGCTTCCAACCTCCCTTTCCTCTCTTCCTAGGACTCTAACACCCATATGGCAGGACTCCTTACTGATGACCATCCTCTATGTCTCATATACCTGTTTATGTGTTCTCCGTCTTTCGTCTCAGTACTTCATTCTGAATAGTTTCTTCTTATTTATCTCCCAATTAATTATGTCTTCTTCAGTTGTACCTATTAAACTGCTAAATGAATCAATGGATTCCTTAATTTGAATTAATAATGGAATTTTATTTTCCGGAATTTTTAGAAACACTTCCCACATTTTGTTAAACTTCTAAATTGCGTATTTTTCTTCTTGAACTTAACTAGAGTAAGTGTTTTAAAGCTTGTGTCTGCAAGGACAACGTATATGTGGAACCACTGTAGGTCTGTTTCCACTTTCTCATGCCTCTGCTGATGGTCATGAGTGTGGATTCCTTGCCATGAGTGTGGACACTGTGGTGCAGGCTGTTGTGAATAGTTCACATTTATGACCACATACGAGTATGACATGCTTTTCCATATTATATTTAGCATGTTTTTCATGCTACATGAAACATGTTTCATGTGGCAACAACTGTAGTTAATAGTTTGCAATAACTATAGTTAATAATATTAACCCATTTTACAGATAATAAAACTGTGGTACAGGGAGTTTAAGTAAAGCGCTCCATGTAGACCCAGTGAATGGTGAAGCTAATATTCAAACTCCATCAGTTTGATCCCAGGGAACATCCTCAACATCTCTGCTACCATATATTTATTAGAAGCAAAACAAAAAATGAACAACAACAAAAAACCCTTACTGTCATTTAGTTATTTCACATATAACTTCCCAATAATCTAAATAGTTGATAAATAAAAATTAGATCAGAAACCTTTTTATTTGCTTCACCTGAAACAAAATTTCACTTTTCTTAGCAAGCACTTTGCATCATCTTATTAAATTCTCATGACAATGCTATGGCTAGATATTTTGATATCCGCATTTAACAAATGAGGAGACAAGCAGAGAAAAACTAGGAAACTTGTTCAAATACCCACAGCTAGAAACAGACAGAATACAATTTCAGAATAACATATGTCTGACTGTAAAACATATGTTCTTTATTTCTACACTATGATCTCTCTCAGATACATTTTAAAATGCACAACAGATATTTGTCATTAGATTTTTATACTATTTTTCCATATATCACTTTTTCACTGAAAATAGTAATCCATTTTAGGCACCAACCACACTTTTGCACCCAACAACATGCATAGGTGCATATTTGCAATAAAGTTCCAGCAGTGATGGAAATCTGAGTGTTCACTTACACAGTGCGCTACCTCACTAGCTCTTTACAATCAAAAAGTTTAGCCTTAAGGTGGCATAATTTTCAAGATCAATTCAAGCCCGCAGAGTAAGAAGCATTAACTCATCTTTTCAAAATGTACTTAGAGAATGTCTTTGAAAAACAGCCTGTTGTATGTTTCATAAGGGCCCTGAGAAAAGTAGTATATTCCAATAACTTTCATATGACTCTAAATATGGTAGATAAGAGATTTAAAAAATGTTTTTAAAGGACTATTTTTTCATTGAGTTTATCTTTCTTAAATGCTCAGAGACATGAATATAGGAAAATTTGTGAATAGTAAGAGATATTTTATGCTCTGAAATCAAATTAAATATCCTGAAATGCCAACTCAGGTTGGCATATATGACCATATATATTTCTGTTACAGGTTTTGCTTTCTACTTCACTTCAAAAAGACTTGCAAAGATCCAAAGTTGAGGAATTGGCTTATGTTGATTTGGTTTCTTCTTGCTTCAGGGTCTTTGGACATGAAGCCATCTCTGTTAGGATGCTCTCACCCAACTGGCAGTCTTTTTCCAACCTCTTCTTTGGCCATGCTTCATTCTTAGTGACTTGGCCCTATTGTCACCTTCTTTGAGAACACTTTCTGACTTTTTCTACTCCTCACCCACTTGACCTTCATCCTGGTGAGTAACATTCCAGTGTGACTGCTCAACACAGCTTCCATCATGCTTCAATTAGCCATAAATTATTATAGTTAGTTACTGATCTCTGTCCTCAACCTCACTGTGATTTGCTTGAAACCAGAGTCTGTTTCATTTTTTTAAA